GTCTAGTCACTGTGAGATAATTTAATTTTCCAACCAGCCACCTATAGCTTGCAGGATCGCTAAGCGGCTCCCCCTGTCCTGGCATAAGTTTAGAATTCGGATCCATCGGAGTGTCAACAGGTCTGCAACCTATCATCCCCGTCTCCTCAAGAATGTCTAAAGCATATTTTCTTTGAGAAATAACAATACCTGAGCTAGACTGGGCAACCTCAATACCTAGAAAGTACTTCAATCTGCCTAGATCCTTAGTTTGGAAGTGCTGGAAGAGATGCTGCTTCAGATTGGTAATACCATCCTGATCATTGCCAATAATAACAATATCATCAACATAGATTACCAGATAAATATAGAGACTTGAAGCAGAGTGCCGATAAAACACAGAGTGATCAGCTTCACTACGAATCATGCCAAACTCCTGGATAACCGTGCTGAACTTACCAAACCAGGCTCGAGGAGACTGCTTTAGACCATAAAGTGACCGACGCAAGCGACATACAAGGCCACGAGACTCCCCCTGAGCAACAAAACCAGGTGGTTGCTCCATATAAACCTCATCCTCAAGATCACCGTGAAGAAAGGCATTTTTAATGTCCAGCTGATAGAGGGGCCAATGACGAACCGCAGCCATGGATAGAAAAAGGCGGACTGAAGCCACTTTAGCCACGGGAGAGAAGGTATCACTGTAATCGAGCCCAAATATCTGAGTATATCCTTTGGCAACAAGACGGGTCTTAAGTCGATCAATCTGTCCATCGGGACCAACTTTGACTGCATAAACTCAACGACAACCAACAGTAGATTTACCTGAGGGAAGAGGAACGGTTAATCAGACATACAAGTGGTACTAGACCCGACATTTCTTATCCTGTGAGTGTTGTAAGTCAGTTTATGAATTCTCCCTGTGATAGTCGTTGGGATGCAGTTGTCCGCATTATTCGATATATAAAATCGGCTCCAGGCAAAGGGTTACTCTTTGAGGATCGAGGTCATGAGCAGATCATTGGATACTCAGATGCTGATTGGGCAGGATCACCTTCTGATAGACGTTCTACGTCTGGATATTGTGTTTTAGTAGGAGGAAATTTGGTGTCCTGGAAGAGCAAGAAACAGAATGTAGTTGCTCGGTCTAGTGCAGAAGCAGAATATCGAGCAATGGCTATGGCAACATGTGAGCTAGTCTGGACCAAACAATTGCTCAAGGAGTTGAAATTTGGTGAAATCAGTCGGATGGAACTTGTGTGCGATAATCAAGCTGCCCTTCATATTGCATCAAATCCGGTGTTCCATGAGAGAACTAAACACATTGAGATTGATTGTCACTTCGTCAGAGAAAAGATACTTTCAGGAGAGATTGCTACAAAGTTTGTGAGGTCGAATGATCAACTTGCAGATATTTTCACCAAGTCTCTCACTGGTCCTCGTATTGGTTATATATGTAACAAGCTCGGTACATATGATTTGTATGCACCTGCTTGAGGGGGAGTGTTAGTTTACAGCATGTATATAGTGTAGTATTGTCCCACATTGGTAGAAGAGTAGTATGTCCTTGTATAGTATAGCTATAAATAAGGACCTCTTGTATTGTATTGTTCATCTAATATCAATAACATATTTTCTCCCGTGCCTTCTCAAAAATAGCATAAGGCTTCATGTGCCATATTGATGTAGTTGAAGCAAGCATTGGGAAAGCACCATACATTGTCGTGATTTTTGTTTAACATCTTAAACAAAATTGCACCTTATACATTAACGGCAATCGTTGCACCACTCAAATTACTTGTCCACCGGATGTCTTTCTGTAATCATGCCTAACTGTTTCGACGTACTTGATCTACTCGCTTGCTGCTTTTAGTATAACGGGTGCAGGACATCTTCTTCCGTATGATTGTAAATGATAGGCAAATAGAGTAGCGATCTGCTGATCCATACGTGTAACACTAACTCTGTAGCTTTTACAGTTAACGGGGTGCAGTTTTATAGACCACTACTCCAAGTTTAGATTTTATGCAGCTATTTTTTCCTGGTGCATGTGAATAACCATCAAAGTAAACCCTGTCCCTTGAACTTCTTCTTGTGCATGTAAATGTCCATCAAGATACCCTGTCTTCTTCACCCGTTTTGATAGCAATCCGATTACTATCTTATCTTTTCTGGAATGTGGAACGTGATTTGCCTATGGTTTTAATTAGTATGTACAAGAGAAGAAGTGATGAACAATATTTTCATTTTAGACAAGCTTAATGTTTAACGTGGTTTGACAATTTGAGATCTTTCACTTGAATATTCAAACTATTTGCCTTCACTAGGAGTTTGCTAGAAACATATCTATGTTTTGCTTTTTGGTGAAGACTTGCTCATAAACTTTCATATCATTAGCAACCTCTTCTTTACACCTGAACTTTTGTATTACACGCCTTTCAATTGTTTACTAAACCTGAGGTTTTGTTGTTTGCTTCCTATGTTAGAGTTCACCTAGGAAAGATACTGAGGAAGATGGTGATATAGATGATGATGCTTTTGAGGCACTCTTTCAGCTGCTGGAAGAAGATCTGAAAAATGATGACTTATCTTTGAACGATGATGATATAAGTGAGGAGGACCTCGCGAAGCTGGAACGTGAACTGGAGGAGGCACTGAAGGATGATGAACTACTAGGAGAAATTGCCTCAATTGCCAATGAGAAAATTGGGAGTGAGGATGAAGATGAAGAAGTAGTAGCAGATGATGATAATGAGGATGATAAAGATGAAGAATTGCCAGTGAAATTGAAAAATTGGCAACTTAAGAAACTGGGATATGCCTTGAGAAGGGGACGGCGTAAGACAAATGTAAGTTGTCATCTTAATGTTAGTCTTCTCAAATTCTGATACCGCAATTGCATTACAGCTACTCACTATTCTTGAGCCTTAAGGCCACTTTGGTTCACTCGGCTCTTTGCATGTTCCAGCTTTAAGCACGGTGCGAAGAACATTGGTGCTATCTATCCATGTGTCTAAAGTATTCAAATGCTTGGGCAAAATTTACCTTGTTAATCTCATCTGTCCCTATGTACTTCCCTTCTTCAGATTCCATTGTTTATTTAGCATTTAACTGGACATCTACTTTTAGCTTGCAACATTTCTTGATGTTAATTAGCTAAAACTATACTAACTTGCAAACAAAGCATATCATTGATAAGAATAGACTGGAAGTTTTGGAACCTGTAGCAGAATTGGAAGAGCAAAAAAATGTGGAAATGTTTCTTTTAACCTCTGCTGCCTATTTAAAGAAAATATGTCTAGAGAATTGGAAGTTTTGCTTTATCTTCATTGTTCCTTGAGACGAGGGTCTATCGGAAACAACCTCGCTATCTCTATGAGGTAGGGGTAAGGTCTGCGTACACACTACCCTCCCCAGACCTCATATATGAGATCAAACTGGGTTTGTTGTTGTTGTTGTTGTTGTTCTAGTGCTGCTTACTCTATAACTTCTAATTCACTTTTTCCTTCCAGATAAAAAATCTTGCTGCTGAGATATGCCTTGATAGAGCTGTTGTTCTTGAATTACTTCGCAATCCTCCGCCAAACCTTTTGTTGCTGAGTGCTGCCTTACCCGATGAACCTGTCCCCAGAATGATAGAGCCTGAAAGCAAACCCCAGGAGACTGTTCCCATAGAGATAAGTGATGTTGCAAGGCCTGAGGCTAAGGTGGAAATGCCAGTCCATGTGATGCAAAGTAGTTGGTCTGCTCAAAAGAGAATAAAGAAAGTCCAACTAGAAACCCTTGAACAAGTTTATAGACGATCAAAGCGGCCCACTGTGAGTCCCATTACTTCTCTATTTTTGTTCGATGCTTTTAAGTCTATGTTGGTAAAATTTCATATCTGAATAAAGAGCTTCTGCATATTGTTGCATAGCTCTGCACCTGAACAATGGGGCTTGGGTGTGGGAAAATGGAAAAAGATCCTGTTGAAATATCAATTATCCTTCTCAAAAAAATATCAATTAGTCTGGGATGTAAAATGTTCGTGATTGAGGCCAACAATGTTGAGGGGTGGCTCTTGTGACCTTGGAGTTTGGGGGCCAAGTTTAATCTGGGATAAGTGAATCTGCTTTCTTGCTCCCGAATATCCAAATCTCAACACATCTGTCCTCCCTGTGCATTTCCCCTTTTATCTTGTTTGTTGTTTTCATGTTCATCTATTTTCTTTTCTTTTCCTTGTTTGTTCAGGATGAGGATGGATGTGATGAGAAAATTTAGACGCACCTATTTCAGGTTATCTGTTCTGCTCTACTATCCTTGAATTGGCAGTTGATTAGAAATTGCCTTAAATTTAAGGTTAAATGAGTGGGTAGTGCAAACTGTAAACCAAACCCCAAGAGATTTGAGATAGTAATAACTTTAGTATTGTGTCGATCGATCTAAGAAATGACGTCCAAGAAAAGGCAACCCATTGCAATTGGCACCTCTTATTGGTTTGTCTATGTGTTCAATCAACTTAATACCTTTATGCCCTTTTATTCGTAGTTTTAATGCACGCTAGTTCCCCTATCATTAGGAATCACTTGGAATTTAAAATACTTGGATCACGTGATTGAATTCAAAAAAAAGAAATCCCAACTTGTTTGGGGCTGAGGCGTAGTTGTTGTTATATATAATTGAAGTTATGTATTACTATTATCAGCCACCAGATGACTAGTTTGAAGTAGTTGGATCTCAGGGTTCTTCTCTTTTGCTCTGAAAATTTGATGTGGTTTTCTCTTTTCAATTCACAATTGCCTGAATTAGTACATGGTACTTTTTTCTCTTCAACTTTGTGTGGTATGATTACTTGATATAAGCTGGATACAGATGATTTATTCAGAATCAGTCTGAGCTAATAGCCACTGCTAAATCAGTCCAACGTTGCACTTTTTATGCGACCGGTGACTCCTCATAATGGTATCTCCGAACTGTACGATTGAGAACGGATATGTGGTTTGCTTGGTGATGTAGTTGCACACAATTGCTAAGTGCTATACCTAGGATGAAAGAGAGAACATTGTTATCCTTATACTCTCTCTGTTGTGGTGATGCAGAATGCCATGATTAGCAGCATCGTGCATGTGACAAATCTGCCTCGGAAAAGAGTTCTGAAATGGTTTGAAGACAGACGGTCTGAAGAAGGGGTTCCTGATCATCGACTTCCATACCAACCATCGTCTAAATCTTAACAGTTCTATCCTTGTAAGTACCAGCTAAAACAACTGATTTTTGTATGTTAAACTGGTTTCTCCCGTGCTATCAGATACTTGAATTATTTCATGCCAACCATCAGCTTCCTTTTGCTATTTATTTCTCAGTGCAGCTATAACAACAGGAGCAAATAGCAATACCCTCTGTAAAGCAAAGATGGTTACAAACAAAAAGAAGTGAACAACTTTAGTTTGTCAGTTGTGTTGAATTAACTCTATCCTAATCATATAATTCTTAGCAGTAGTTGCAAGTTCTTAATACCTTAGAGAGGGATTTGGATCTTTTGACTGTTTCTTTTTTCTTTGGGTCCCTTGAGTCTGATCTCTGAAAACTCTGTGACTACATCTATTGGGCAAATCTGCCTCGTCAATACTAGTTTGCAGAAACACCATTAATCTGCAATGCCAGTTTGCAGCAACTGAATAATGCCAAACAATGGAAATTGGATTTCTCTTTGAAAATTAGGGATATTTTGCTTTTCTGGATAATTAGGGAAAGGGGTTGGTCTCTACTTATAAAGAACTCTATCCATCACAGGCGAATATCAAGTCTCACTTATTCATACACATAATCAATTAAATTTATCTGGCCTGATGCATATCTTTTCACAACTTGAACTAAGACATTATTAGGCTATAACTATTAACTAATTAACAAAAGTCTTAATTTCAACAACTGAAGGAACCTTGCCTAGTGATTGCTTCTATATTATCATCAAACATATAACATTCTCTTCTGGTTATTATTTTCTCTTGTTTAGTATTTGGGTACTTTTATTTCTTCGTTTGATTAAACTTTCCTTTTTTGTATTATTGAAAACAAGACATGTTTAATATGATTGCCCAATAAAGTAAGATGGGATTTAAATTCTTCTCCAACTGCAACCGTAAGAAGAAAATAAGAATCCTTACGTTAGATGTAGTATAAACAAACGTAAGGATTATTTTCTTTTCTTCTTGATTTTCCTGCAACAAATAGCAGTACAGACAGTAAACCTGATTTCATTCATTTGCTTCAACTTAAGTTCATTTTGGAATTGCTACTTGGACAATGCTGCCAAATTATGAAAATTATTTCAGTGCCATCAGTTTATTCTTTGGATCCTTCCATATTGAATTTAAGCATTTAACAAATGATGAACCAGGACATTAGTCGGCATATCAAGTAAGAAAATCAATTTAGTTTTATTTCTCCCGGAGACACTTGACATATGATGTTCTTCAATTCTAATGTGATGCTGAACTTAACCTTGGGATATGCCATCAAATTAATTTCTTCATCCGCAGGTTAATATTTAATTGTAATTCCAATAGCTAATTACCTTTTGTGCCGCAGATAGAGCTTTTACAAACTCCTGAATTTTACAGTGTTGTATGTCTAAAATAAGTTTGCACATATTGTGCTATGGAAGTATGCCCAGCTGTTCTATTTAGGGCTGGAACCTTTGAATCTATGTATGTTAGCAGATTCAAATCCCATCCTGATTACGCAACCAGTGTAAGTGAAAGCAGGACCAAACTAAGATTTAGATGATAAACCACAATAAATAATTCCGAATTATCCACTAAGAATCAGATTAATAGATAAAAATAATATATTTAAAGCATTAATCCTAACAAAAAAAGTCTGTAAAGTAGTAGTAGTAGTAGTAGTAGAAGCAGTAACGAAATCCTGGCCTTAATTAGTAACTGAATAATCTGAGCAGGTAATGAATAATAGATCCTTCAAGCATTTGAACAACACTAATTTTGACATTGTAACTATTATTTCAATGATTTGATATTAGTTCACATATATAAAGGGCATATACCTAGGACTAATTGTAAAATAGTCCAGTGAATTACAATATTGTTAAAGACAATGGGAGAAAGAAGATTCCCAAAAGTCAAAACTTCCTCCTCTTATCCCAGCCGCACAAGGATCTTTGGCAGGCTTAGGCATATCATGAAAGTCTACCATTACGGCTCTTCTCTTCGCTTTGTTTTGCTCTGTAACTCTTTCCTCAAATTTCCTTTTACTTGATTCAAACTTCATTTTGCATTGGTCTTGCAACTGTAGAGGTTTGTGTTGGTTTTTGCATAGGTCTTGCAACTGTAGAGCTTTGTGTTACTTTTTGCATTAGTCTTGCAACTGTCTTTTGATTTGGTCTTGTAATTACACTACCATTGCTCTGCTGCTCTCTTCCCTCAAGCCTCATATCTTGTTTTTCTTCTACACTGTTGATATCTTCCTTAAACCTCCAGGAGATTTCTTGGTTGCCAATCCCATGACACAACTCGTGTTCTTGCTTTCTTTATCGTTGGACCAACACTTTCAATATCACTATCGACATGCTTGTGTTGATTTCTTCATCTTCTACACGACTAGCACTGTCGATTCCTTCCCCTGGTTTTCCCGAATCCAGCAACATCATCAATATTTCATTTTTGTTGGGTGGTGCACCAACGCTTTAATCAACTTAAATCTATGGTTTAGAAACACTGCTTCTAAATCCATGCCTAAACTCATATCTCAACGATTGTGACAAATTGGTAATATTTCCTAAATAAATTTTGCCACAGGGAAACCCATTTAGATTTGGAAAAGGTTTTCATTTCCTCAATGGGTTTTGCCCATTTATTTATATGACGGGTAACTTTTTCTTTTGGAAATTATGAATCAATAAAAGAGATGGTATTTTTCTAGAATCTGACCAAATCAAGTGTGTAACTTTTCCTTTTAATGTTAAATCTAAGATATTGATCATAATAAAATGTATACACAGAGTCATAAAATGTTTTAAATTAAAATCAATAATTGTGTATACTGAGAAAACAAAGATCACTGCCAAATTAAAATCGAAACGGTATAAAGCTTATGATTCCCATAGTTATTATTCTGTTAGAAAACACACTATAAGAAAACACAAATTTGTGACGAAATATTTATGATGGACAACAGGACAAGTACGTCAAAATTTTGTAACAGATTTTTGACGATCTTATGACATTCATCAATGTGAATGGAATTTGTACCGAACACGATGATCATTGATCCGTCACAATTTAGCTACAAATTTGTGACGGGAATGATGGTTCACCTTTATGAACCTTTACAGAGAGTTTTAACTACTATTTTATGGGGCGGTAGGAAAACTGGTAATTAAAAATTAGCCATAGTTTTAAAAGTAATTAAATTTTAGCTACTTTTTCATGTGTAAAATAAAATCTGAACAAAAACACCCTTGAAAATCTAGAAAAATTCTAGCATAATATTGTTTTACATATGAGATTCCAGCATAATGTACTAGAATTTATAATGTGCTAGAGTTCCAACATAATATGCTGGAAGTATATACGCATGAGTTACATAATCCAGCATATTATGCTGGATTTTTTTCGTGTTTCGGCTAGGATACTACTTTTGTCCAGATTTTATCTCCGCCTTAAATAGTGGCTACTTTTCAATAACTTTGTAAATACTGGCTCTTTTTCAATAACCGCCCCCGTAAAAATGGCTATGCCATGTCATTTTGACCTATTTATCATATATGTATCAAAAACAAGAATAGTTACTCATTAAAATTATTAACCCAATTATATAAAATGAGAGAGAAATAAAACCTTATGGCATACGTAGTTTTGTCTAATAAGTAAGTATCAAGCGCAACTTATAAGTTTCCTCCGATCTATCTACTTATGAGATGTCTTTATCTTACCATTAAGAGTTAGTGGTGGATTGCCTTCACGAGTCCATTATTCAAATGGTCACTCAACTATCCCAAATTATCTGTTAAAGTGACTTTTCTTTCTTTTGTAAAAGCAAAGTCACTTAACTATGCCTATAGCACTCAGAAGGTCACTCAACTAGATTTTTCAAATTTTGGATTGTCAAATACCTATTTTAACCTCTAAATTATAAACATTTATCTTCTTTTTATTTTTTTAAACTTTTTAATATTATGATTCTTTTTAATTTATATTATGGACTTACCTATATAATAAATAAATTTTATTTATAAATTAAAAAATAAAAAGTATTTAAGCATATATAATGCTGGAATAACAAAATAATGAGCATAGTAAAAAAATTAATTAGAATAATTTGTTTGTAGTAATTTTAGTATTAACAACAAAAATTAAAAAAATTATTTACACAATTGAGAATGAAAGAAAATAAAGGTTGTAAAATATATATTCCATGCACATAATATAAAAATAATTATTTAAATAAAGGTATTTTTATAATATACATTATATATGGTTGAAAATTATGCTCAATTATATTATTATTCCGTCATTATATGAGCTGAAAACTAATTTTTTATTTTATAAATAAAATATATTTTTCTATAGGTAAGTCCACAATGTAGATTAAAAAAAATTATAATATTTAAAAAGTTAAAAAAAATTGATAATTTAGAGGGTAAAATAGGTATTTGACAATTAAAAATTTAAAAAATCTAGTTGAGTAACCTTCTAAGTATTATATACATAGTTAAGTGACTTTGTTGTTACAAACGAAAGAAAAGTGACTTTAGCAGATGATTTGGGATAGTGGAGTGACCATTTGAGTAATGAACTCTTCCATTCACCCATAATCAGAAATCTCGGATTCGAACCCTGAGAATGAAAAATATCTTGATAAATAATACTTTCGTTTTTAATGGTCTTACACGATGCAAATTCAATTTAATTGATATTTAATACAAATATCGAACATCGAGTGAGTAACACAATAGAAAATATCTTTACGAGATAAAACCTTGCACACCACAACTGCAGACAATACAATATCTTGTAAGAACGCCTTTAGATGGTATCGTATGTAAAAACAACTAGGTATGGTGCTATTTCTTCAGCCCCTCGTCTGGGTGGATTCTTCTGTAGATATATGTCACTTTCTGCCACATCGACAAAAAAGGATATACAGCCACTTTGTCATAAGGACCTTGATCAACTTACAATGAATAGCTATGTTATGTACACTTACATTAATGAATATATTTTGACACTATCTACATCGTTTAACAAGTTGTAGTATGTCACTTATTTTGTAAGTTATTAATCTACATTTATTATGAATATTACTTCATCCGTTCACTTTTAGTTGTCCATTTTTTATTTTGCACTCCCTTTAAAAAAAATGAAGTATTTATGTTATAATTTTACCCATAATAATGACAGTATTTCCAAAAATCTTGTGAGATGATTTGACGAATGAGTAATTAATGATAAGAATAAAACAGAAAAAAAATTATCTTTCTCTTGATTTAGTATAG